AATAAAAAATATTTTTTTAAAAAAACTAACTTTATTTTTTATGTTTTTTATGAAAGTGTCAAAACTCATGAATTTCGAGAGTTTTCTACGATGTTAGAAAAAGTGGTTAGAAAACGTGTTAGATCTAACATGCTAACATAAAATATATTTTTGTGCTATGTTTTCTACGATGTTAGAAAACAGGTTAGAAAACATGTTAGATCTAACATTCTAACATAAAATATATTTTTGTCGAAAAAAAATGGTTCATTTACTCACAATATTTTTGTACAAAACGACCCCAAACTTTTAACTTCTTTTCTGCAGCTTCTAATGTTATCTTAGCGAGTTCATATTCTCTAAATTCTCTCTTTAAATCTTCTTGTTCCCATTGGTCTAGTTCGTATGGAGAATCTCTATAACCAGAACATATCTCACGTTCATGTTCTATTTGTTTTTCATGCATTTTTCTAACTTCTTCTTCGAACAAAGGTTTTGCATTCTCTACTGTATCTTCAAGTTCTTCTTCATCTAACTTCTCATGAACTTTCTTGTCTATGGAGTCCATAATTTTTCCAACTGCTATGCAATATTTTGGAGAAGCCCACATTGCTATATAGTTTACGAGTCTTGGGTCTACATACATTCCTCTAACCTGTTTGATTTCATCGGGAATTCCTGCATTAACATTGTATAAAAAGCAACCCGCGGAATTCCGCGGGTTGGTATATTCTTCACAAAATGCCTTAAAATACTCTTCCCAGGACTTATTTTCCAACAACCTTCTAAAGTCTTTCCTAAACTGCTGACACATATTTGTTACATTTATATAACCATCCTTGTCTCTACGTAAGACTTCAATACCGTTGTAAGTGCCTTTTGTGAATGTTTCGCCATTAGATTTGTTCGTGAACGTTTTTGCTTCGACTGTCATTTCAGTTCTTACAATAAAAATAAAAAATATTTTTTGGTGGTACGTCGGACATTCGTTTGTGGCTTAACCGTCGGACATTCGTTTGTGGCTTAACCGTCGGACCACAACGATAAAAATCTCATTTTAACTCACTTTTTCTATCTTAAGGAAATTCATGAAAATTCACCTGTTGAATTTTGTATAAAAAGCACCCCGCGGAATTCCGCGGGGTGGTATATTCTTCACAAAATGCTTGTTTTGAGGTCGAGCCATTTTTGGCTCCACCTCTTTTTTCAATACTTTTTCAGCACTTTTCCGTAGTTGTATATGAAAGACAATTCGAGATAAAAGTCATAGTACAATGGAATAATATGTTGCACACCATTTGTTGTGAACCAAACTTGAAAGTCAGAGAAACTGTTACTAGGTGGTTCGTAGAATTTAGAAGCAAAGTCATAAAAGTCCTTACCGATACACAGAAAACTGTTGTTGCTTGAACTGAAACTTGCATGACACATAACATTTTGAGGGTCAAACACGTTTCTATAAACTGTCAAATCTGTTGGTGGGCGTATAAATTTAAACGGACCGTCAGGTGGCAATGGTTCGTTCTGGTTTAGTAACCGAAGAAATTGTGCCCAAGAACGTTTGTCTACTTCCCAAAATAAAAACTGTGTACTTCTTGGAGGGTTATTTTCAATCCTTTGAAATGAAACTGTGGAGTTCATCTTGTCATATTCTAGTTTCAGATAGTATGTTCCATTTAGTAAAGAATCGTATTTTTCTTGAAATTCCCAGTAGTATTTGTTTATTTGAGTTTGAAAGTCATTTAGAGTCTTCTCAAGGTTTTCGTCTGAACGAATTGTAAAGATTCTCATTTCGTCAAATTTGTCTATTAGACCATCAGAACCTTCATATTGCCCATGAAAATATACTGCAAACATAAAAGCGTTAGTTCTATTTGAAAACAAAACTCTTCTAAATCCTATTGCCTTTGCATCTGAAGGACTTTGAAGCCAACGAATTGGAAAGTCAAACCTGTAAGTACGGGATGAAATTTCTTCATCTGATATAGTCCTACCGGCGTTTGTAAAGATATAGTCTAACGGTTTTGTATCTGCTACTTTTGTTCTTTGTTTTTCAACCTGAAACATTTAATATATGTAAAAATATACTGTTTTAAAACGTTTTTACTTCATATTTCTCATCTAACAAACATGTTGTCTGACTGCTTGAGGGTTAGGTTGGTACCATTCGAACTTCACGCTTACAATTCCTTCAATTGCATTCAAAATATCTGAGTCGGAGTCAACCATTTGTTCTCTCTTTGTAGTCTTGAAAGCGTCAAGAAGTTGTGCGGCTGTTGTGACATTGCCATGTGAGTAGTATATATGACCGTCCAAATCTGTTATAGTTAGTCTGAGATTGTGTCCTTTCTTATTTCCGTCTTGAATGGCAGCAAGTACACCCATGAAGCCTTCTTTGTTCTTTCCTTCGTCAAAGTTTACTGTAAAGGTTCGACCAGATGTAATTTTACTTCTAACTTCACGGTACTTTTCATATGCATATCTTGTTCTTTCCATGGGAGCATGACCATCCTCTGCACTACCTTTTTTCCTTCTCAAAGGATGCAATTGTTCGTCATGTTTCCAGTAGAATCTGGCAAAGCCGTCTTGTCCTTCAACTTGCGGCTCGTTAACATTGAAAGGCAAGTTCATAAGACGTTCTTCTTCTAACCTCTCTAATCTGTTTGGATAGTTGGTTCGCGCTGTTTTTAAGTCCATTTCGTAGGTCAGACCAGACAATTTGTCATAGACTTTTATGGGTCTTCCCTTCCTATATTTAAAATTCTTCGAAACTCTCCAACCATATCTTTGTAACTCTGCTTTTATTCTAGCAGATTTTCTATCTATTCTATATAGGGGCATTTTTATAAAAATAAAAAAATGTTTTTCTCTTTACTTAACATAACCACCGGCTACCATAAGTCTTTGACGCCAACCCATACCAGCTAATGAAGGTTGACTTGGTTTAGTTTGGAAACTAACCTTTGGTTTTGGTTTATCTTCAGTTTTTGGCTCACCTTCTTCTATCGGTCTTTCGTCACTTTTCGGTTCCTCTGACTTTACCTCACTTGCAGGTATGGTTGTGTCGTTAGTATCTTCGTAAATATCATATGCCATTTGTTTTTGTTTTCCTTTCAACTTTTTGTGTTTGTTGTAAAGTTTAGAATATTTCGACTCTAAGTCAATGAGATGTTCTATAATGAACTGTTCGTCAGTGAAGTAAACTTTTCCATCTGTTGTCTCGAAAGCTCCTTCAGACTTCAATATTTTATTTGTGAGGGTCTGTTTCTTTTTTGAGATACTAGCCGTTCCATTTCTATGAAAAGTGACTTATAGTTAGGGTTTGTATTTCCAGACCTGGCACTTTCTATTATTGAATTTTTCTCTTCATCTGTAAGTTCTTTGACAGGTTTTGACAATGGTTCTGAACTTTTTGTTTGTGGGGTGAGATCCACGTTTCAACTTCTTCGGTCATTTCATCTCAGTAAAAAATTTTAGTTTGGTTTGTTTTCAACTGGTTGTTTAGGTTTTTTAAGTCGGTCTAAAACTTCCTGAGGTATAGGGAGGACTTGACAAACACGTGTTGTGTAACTGCTGGAAGTCGACAAATCCATCTTGAGCCCATTTGTCTCAATGCTGTATTGTTCATTTCATCTCAGTAAAAAACTTTACATTCCCCAAGTTTGAGGTGGTTGCGGTTGGTTATTGTTTACCCACTGTTGTGCATGGTTATATCCTCTGTTAAAGAATCTTTCACCTTGGTCCATATAGTGTCCTGCTTGGTTATAGTAGTCATTTGCTTTGTTATAGTAGTTTCCTGCTTGTCTTCCTACATTGTCCATCCATCCTTGAACTTTTCCTCTTGTTTCAGGATTTGGAATAAGATTTGCTGCATCTCGTGCTACATCCCAACCTTTCTGTACAGTTTGTATAATAGGTTGTGCTTTCTCTTTCAGTATACCTAATGTACTCAAAATCTTCCTTCCAACTCCAAATACACCTCTGGCTATTGTTCCCACTGCGGGTAAAAATCTAGATGCGACTCCTGCTAATGCGCCAAATAAACCCATTTCTTATGGGTTAAAAAATGACGAATCCAAACAAGGACCCTATGTTTCTAAAGCGACAAAGAAAGCACTCATGGTAAAAATCTTTAGTTCAACACCAAATGCTTGGTTTATGGATATCTTGGAAAACATTCCGAGGTATAGAGAAGATGGACCACCATACTGGCTAATATTTGTCGGTCAAAACACAAGATACTGTGAAGCCATACCATTACAGTCCAAAAATATTTTAGATGTGAAAACTGCTTTGACAATATTCGTTGACAAATACCATCCAACAAAACTGACATCTGACTGTGAAAGTTCTTTCAAATCAGACGATATTAAAAACTATCTGCGTTCAAAAAATGTAAACCAATATTTCATTGTCGACCAAAACCATTCTGCTCTTGGTGTCATTGACAGTTGTATAAAAATCTTAAGAGACTTAAATCAACCACAAGGTGGTGAGGTAGATGAAATGTCATATGATGACAAATATAGACACTTCTCCCAGGCAAAGATGAGACAAGTTTTAAATATTTACAATAGCCGTAAACAAAAAGGTTTGGGAAACCACTCCCCTGAAGAAATGAAAAACAACCCCGACTTAGAGAAAGACTATATATTTAATAGTTTAGTCAAAAGAGACAAACAAGAAAGAATGCCAGGCTTCAAACTTAAGAAAGGTGACAAAGTAAAAATAGAAATACCTAAACGCGACCCATATGAAAATACTATTGACTATGACAACAATGGGAACCCGACAGGTACTCACATTCGTGTTCGTAAAAATAGAAGAAAGTATACAAGAGAATATTATGAAGTTTTAGGCAAACATGGCAAAATGTACACACTGCAAGCAGAAGATAAAACTACTATTGTCAGACCTCGTTTCAAACTTGTTAAGGTTCAAGGTGGTATACTTTCAAAGACAGTTCCAAACAAATATAAGACAACTCCTGACGAATATGCTAAAGAAGTTGAAAATGACGACTAAGCAATTCTATACCATGCACAAACTGTCATGTAAGGTGGCATGTATTTTTTACCTAGTCCTGTAGATGTTGTTGTAAAAGTATGTTGGTGGTTTCCTCCTGGTTCAGTTTGTCGAAAAGTCTTTTTTGCTGAATGGTTATAATCTGGAGATAAAACGTCATAGCCAGCTTCATACTCTGAGTTGTATAATGGGTGGTCTCTTAATGAGTGGCTATGGTCGCCAGAAAAGTTTGTTGTACCAGAATGACTATGTGGTGGCAAGTTGTCGACAGATATCGTTTTACTTCCACCTGTTTTCTTTGGAGTGTGTGCACAATACAAAAAACTTTCGAGTATTTGAGTCCAAGTTCCAAAACCAAGTACTACTTCTGGTCTGGTAGAGTTCATTGACGTATAAATAGAACCAACCGGGTAAATGGTTTGAAGTATTTCAGTCTTTAATGTTTGAAGCTCTGTTTTGTCTGCTTTCTTGTCATATAAATCTTGAGCAGTGAATTTAACTTTATTTTCATCCTCCATGACATAAACATCTTTACATTTAATGTCTTTCATCGTTGTTATGTCATCCTCCGATGTTAAACCTTGTGGAAAGTTAGGAGGTTTCCAATTTAATACATCCCCACCAGTTTCTTCAACCGTTCCTTCAATATTTTCTATACCAACAGTTGCGAAGAAATCGTGTGTATGTCCAACGTCACTTTTCCTGTTTAAGGTTTCTTGTAAGTTTGTAATATCAGATATGGTATGTGTATGAGTCTTTTTAGAATATTCTTTGTCAGCTCTTGTCACTTCACTTGACATTTTATTGTCAACATATGTTTTATCCGCTTTGTCATCTAACATTTCTTGAAGTTCATCTACGTCATAGATGTTATGTGTATGATGTTTTTGTGGGTATGTTCTATCTGTCCATGCGAGAATATAGTCTCTTGTTGCATCTACATACTCTTTGTCAGCTTTGTTGTCAATATCTGCCTTCAAAAGAAGTTCATCTATAGGTTTCTCGTTTAAAGTTCTTTTTGTTGGATTTATACAAACAGTATGGTTCTTACTGTCTTGAAACAGAAACTCGTCTGTCAATGGGTTTATCGTCAGTTTTAAGTTTCCTTCTTTCAATGACTCAGATATCTTAGAATAGTTTGAAAAGTTTGTTGTGTTCTTATTTAGAGCTTGTACAATGAGTTGTCGGTTGTGTTGTATTTCTCTCATAGACGCTGTTTCTTTCGACATTTTTATTCTAGATAAAATATGCTTTCAATAGAAAAAGAAAATTCAAGAGTTGCTACAACTAAACCATTAGATGAACTTTTTACGAATGTCGGTCAAAAGTTTGAGACAGAGACCGTAAAGCATGAAGGCTATCGTTTTGACTACCCACTAAGATGGTTAAGAGACCCATCTGTCACAAAAGCTATTGGCTTTCGTAGAATGAAGTTCATTTCAGAAGCCATACATGGTTTCCCATTTACGGTCGCTTTTGAAGTTCGATACTATAACAAAGAAAAACGTACGTATGAGAAATTTGAACAGGGAAAACTTTTACAAGTGAATTTGCTTGTAAACTTAGAAACAACTCTTCAAGCTTTTCAAGAAAAAATAAACGATATCTATATCGAATATGCAAACCAGTTTAACATTGACGAAGGAGAGTACCATCTCGATATTTTATATGACAGGAAAAATGCAACTGTTAAAATCAATAGAATAGAAGACCTTGGAGAAGACGTTTATATTTCTAAAATATAACAACTTGGCATGGTATAGATTTTTGAGGATGTTAAATCAGCCTGCAGAATATCCAGTACACCCGAACTTTTATGAAGTCGAAAACCCTAATGGAACATATGAAAATGTTTTCGACCAAGATGCTATTATAGTTCATGCTTCATTTTCTGGCGCACAAAACTCTTTTTATGCTTGGCAAATGACTTTTACGAAAAACCTACAAAGCTATATGAACCACCGAGTGGAAGTATTTCAGACTTTCAAGTATGGTTTACTACAGATGGAAGAAAGAGAATAATTCCATTATACCACGCGTTTTACTTAGAACTTAGTTTCATATACAACTACTATCGAACGGTAAAAATATAATCTTTTAATACGGTTGAGGTGTTGGATTTGGTTGCCAACTAGACTGTGGTGCAGGTTCAGGCTGTTGTATAACAGGAGCTTGTTCTTCTGGTTCAGGGTCTTTAGGTATAATACCAACGAACTGACCTACTCTTTTACCAATATTTTTGACTCCGTTCCAAATTCCTCTTCCGACAGATTTTATTCCATTCCATATACCTCTTCCAACATTTCGAAAGAAGTTTCCTATTCTTCCAAAGAAACCCATTTTACTATATGTAAAAATCTAATGTCCACCTAGTCTCTTACGTTTCCTGTTGAGTTCCATTGCATTCTTTAACTGGAGCTCATACATTCTATTTCTCCTCTGGTAGAAAACATACTCTGGGTCAACTCCTGTGTTCGCGTCATCTGCATAAAGCTGTTTATATCCCACTTCGGGGTTTGTATAAAACTCTTTCCATCTCATATTTGCATACCATGGTGGCAAACCTAACGCAGCGTCATTTGACATGGCAGTTTGCATTTGTACATCTGTTGGCACTTGACCATAGTTTGCCATTGCAGTTTGTATTCTAACTTCATTTGGAATATTCTCTGGGTTTGGTTGTCCAGGTTGCTGTGCATTCGCTAAGTTCTGTGCGTCCATTTAATATTAGATAAAAATATCTCTTACGAGTACATATGCTGAACATTTGCAGGCATTGGTTCATCTTCATATTCTCTATATCTTTCTGCCACGTCAAATAAGTAAATGACACAATGGAAAAAACCTAAAACAAGTAGTCCTATTTCAAACCACATTTACTTACTAATAAAATTTCTTTGTTATGACACTTTCTCCAGTTTATAGGACCTCTCTCATATTCTATCTTATCGTATCTAAACTCATAGTCATGCATATCCTCTAACCATCTCATGACACTTTCCAAACCACTTTTATCGGATGTAAAGTAAAAGCATGGATGGTTATGTAAAACGTCTAAAGTTTCTAAAGAGTCTCTCAAAGTCCAGTCTACTTGGTATTGAAAATCCCATGTGTTATAGAACGGCGGGTCTACTATAAAGAAAACATTTCCTTGTTTTTATATTTTTCATACAACTCTGTCCAACGACATCTCACAAACTCTATACCCTCAATATATTTTTCTATGTTCTCTTTGAAAACATTTGTATAGTTAAGATATAAAACTTTTGACATAAGTGTTTCAATGTCATGAACTCTTATAGCACCACTATATAATAGTCTAGCAGATATACTATCCCAGTCAATATACTCTGCCTTTTTCAAAACCTCTCTGACAGTATTTTTCTTATCTAATGGTATACGTTCCATCTTACCTATAGGTATCTTTTCTTTTAACTCTTTCAATATTTTGTTTGTGTCTGGTATATGTTTGAGACGGTTCATATAGTTGTCGAAGTCATTGCATATAATCTTTGAGTCAGGAAATACAGTATGGCACAAATGAGATATATAGAAACTTCCACCGAACAAGTCTACAAATGTTAGACCATTCGGTAGTTTCTTAAGTTCTCTCAATAGAATATCTTTACATCTACTCTATTTCCAAAGAAGGGTAACGGTGGTTTTGTAAAATTCATTTTATATACAATAAAAATGTTTTTTTCCTGAAAAGTGACAGAAAAGCGGTTTTTGACAGATGTTTTATTGTGACTTCTTCGTAAAGACTTTGTTGAGATTTCTTCGTAAATGAGTGTAAATGACCCAAAAATAATGTTTATGTTAGAATGTTAGATCTAACATGTTTTCTAACATGTTTTCTAACATGGTCTAAAACACACAAAACTCATGAGTTTTCTACGATGTTAGAAAACATGTTAGAAAACGTGTTAGATCTAACATTCTAACATAAACATTATTTTTGTCTGATTTTACGAAGAAGTCTTGACAAAACATTTACGATGAAGAAGTCTTGACAAAGTCTTTACGAAGAAGTCTTGACAAAACATTTACGATGAAGAAGTCTTGACAAAACATTTACGAAGAAGTCTTGACAAAACATTTACGAAGAAGTCTTGACAAAACATTTACGAAGAAGTCTTGACAAAACATTTACGAAGAAGTCTTGACAAAACATTTACGATGAAATCATGAGTTTTCTACGATGTTAGAAAACATGTTAGAAAACGTGTTAGATCTAACATTCTAACATAAACATTATTTTTGTCTGATTTTACGAAGAAGTCTTGACAAAACATTTACGATGAAGAAGTCTTGACAAAACATCCTCAGGGCTAGAAGGCACGAAGTGCCTGGAAGCCCCACTACCTTTTTTTTTTTTTTTTTTTTTTTCATTAGAAGATTTTATAATATCATAAGAACTTTCATGGTATTTGTATACCTCCGAATTTCAGAGAAATATTTAGACTGTTGTAAATATTAGCCTTTTGAGTTATCAAACTTCATCTGTAAATCTTAAAATATACTTATTTATTTATGGATACATCTGTAAGTTGAGTCTATAATTTGCTCTATGTGTTTAAAGATATATTTCGAAGATCAATAACTTTTCAATCGGTATCAATGGTTAAATTATGCCTTTAGTCTCGTATTATTGCAGCTATAATTAATGACACCGAAATATTAAATAGCTGTTGTGCAAAAAAAAAGGCAATAAGGTTATTTGTCATTTTACAATAAATTTCAGGATACCATGTATTCAAGAAGGTAATAATTGTTGGAAAGCTTTAAATGTGGGAGAGTTAAAGAAATATAGTATGAGCATATGTAAAAAAGAATTGTTTAAAGGCACCATACCCTGTCATTATTAGCAGCAAGTATTCTTCTTCTTCTTATCATCAGCTGTTGTGGATGTGATTGTAACACCTTTGTTTGGTCCAACCTTTGCTGGTGAGTCTGGGCTAACAATATTCTGCTTGGAAAGACGATGGACAATCTCTGTGATCAAAGTTGTGAAGGCCTCTTGAACGTTGGTTGCGTTACGAGCAGATGTTTCGATGAAGAGAAGGTTCTCTTGCTGGGAGAAACCTGTGCCATCTTCTGTTGAGACAGCACGAAGTTCTTGAAGATCACTCTTATTGCCAACAAGCATAACGACGATATTGCTATCGGCGTTTTCGCGGAGCTCCTGAAGCCAGCGGCTAAGGGAATTGAAGGTAAGGGAAGCAGTGATATCGTAAAGAAGAAGAGCGCCAATAGCACCACGATAGTAAGCAGATGTGATAGCGCGGTAACGTTCTTGGCCGGCTGTATCCCAAATCTGTGCTTTAACTGTCTTACCTTCGATTTCGAGAGTTTTTGTTGCAAATTCGACACCGATTGTGGATTTAGAATCTGGGTTGAATTGGTCACGGGCAAATCTAGAAAGAAGGTTTGTCTTACCGACACCAGAGTCACCGATAAGAACGATCTTAAGAAGGAAGTCGGGCTCAGAGCCTTCCATTTTATTGTGAAAAACCGTCGGGAGTTTTTCAACCAATTTTATTAAATGACTCTTATGATATTGATAAAATCATTTAAAAATATGATTGTTGACATCAATATAGTTGAAAGCTAATGTTTAGAATAATAAAATGACATTTAGCACGGTCATTCCATATATTTATCGGCGGCACTTTTTATTGACGATGATTTATTCGAACAGACTTTTTGAATTTGTGTAAAGTATATGTTAAAAATCTGTTGTTCAAAATAAATTCAATGATTTAATCATTTGATTCGTTGATTAAGATGTATGATTTTTATCTTAATTATCTTCTATGAAGTAAAATGAGCAATTTTTGCATAAAATAATGATTTTTCAATGGCAAATGTAATAAACAGAAATTCATCAAAAGTGACAGCTCTCAATTTTTTGACATTTGTAAATTCTAAATTGAATGAGAAAAATGAAATAATACTAAGCATAATACAATATTCTAGATTTAATTATAATTAGGAAAAAGTTAGTTTTGAGAGTACTTTTCATAGGCATATAGAATGAAATCTTCTGAAAAATAATATCACATAAACTCATATTATTTTCTAATATATAACTATTTTATATAAAAATCAAATTCAATGATCTTAAAAGCGAATGATAAACCTCAAAATTTACGAATATAATGAGTGGGAATATAATGCTTATCTATCATAAAACCATATGAAATATCAATTTTTGCTTTACGCCTAATTTTTGACGACAATTAGCAAAAAATGTTAAATGTTAACACTCAGTCCATTTGAATATGAAAAATAAAATTGACTTTGATTAAATGTTTTTATTTATCATGCAATTCTTCTTGCGACCAAAGATTTGAATAAAATTTCAAAAAATAAGATAGCTTAAAAAATAATATACGGTAGTGTTTACTAATAGATGAATAGTATATAAATTCTATTAAAATGGATTTGATCCAAAAAATATATAAAATTTGATCATAAATAAAATTGTTTAGTAGTCATTTAAAATGATGTAATTATTCAAATTTTGCTAAGACCCATTCGTCTTTGATATATAACTCCCATTTTTGCATTTCTGGCTCGTACCAAAATTTTGAAACTTCGAATAATTCGTTAGGAGTGTAATTACTATTCGTTTTTGGATTAATATCGAGAGATAAATGTGGTGTATTGTTGTATTTTTCAATGAACTGCCGCGACTAACTTTTGGTAATTCGATTTCTTGAAGTTGAAATGCTCTTCTTATTGTATTTTCGGCAACATTCAATTTAATTTTACCATTTTCCAATTCAACTTCCTTTCCCACACTTTTGTAAGATTCACCTTCTTCTATTCTTCTTTTAGCTTCAAATTGTCATTCTCTGCTTATACATTTGGCAGTAGTCATAAAAGTGGTCCTTCTTTTGGGATAAGATTCAAATTTGAATGTGGATGATAAATAAAAATCAAAAATAATTGTTATAATTTAAATGAAGAAGTAATTTAAAACGATTTTATTTATGATCAAATTTTATATATTTTTTGGATCAAATCCATTTTAATAGAATTTATATACTATTCATCTATTAGTAAACACTACCGTATATTATTTTTTAAGCTATCTTATTTTTTGAAATTTTATTCAAATCTTTGGTCGCAAGAAGAATTGCATGATAAATAAAAAAAAGGTAGTGGGGCTTCCAGGCGCGTTGCGCCCTCTAGCCCTGAAGATGTTTAGTATAAATGAAGTTTATATTCGGAGGGCTTCCAGGCGCGTTGCGCCCTCTAGCCCCGAAGATGTTTAGTATAAATGAAGTTTTTATTCGGAAAATTGTTAGTCTTCTGGGTCGAAAACATTATATAATGTGTCGCTTTTCACAAATTATATATGTTTTCATGTTTTGTCACTTTTCTGTCACTTTTCGGGTAAAAACATTTGTATTATTATATATAAATGAATTTTACAAAACCACCGTTACCGTTCTTTGGAAATAAGAGTAGATGTAAAGATATTATATTGAGAGAACTTAAGAAACTACCGAATGGTCTAACATTTGTAGATTTGTTCGGTGGAAGTTTCTATATATCCCATTTATGTCATACAATATTCCCAGACTCAAAGATTATATGCAATGACTTCGACAACTATATGGACCGTCTCAAACATATACCAGACACAAACAATATATTGAAAGAGTTAAAAGAAAAGATACCTATAGGTAAGATGGAACGTATACCATTAGATAAGAAAAATATTGTGAGAGAGGTTTTGAAAAAAGCAGAATATATAGACTGGGATAGTATATCTGCTAGACTATTATATAGTGGTGCTATAAGAGTTCATGACATTGAAACACTTATGTCAAAAGTTTTATATCTTAACTATACAAATGTTTTCAAAGAGGACATAGAAAAATATATTGAGGGTATAGAGTTTGTGAGATGTCATTGGACAGAGTTGTATGAAAAATATAAAGACAAGGAAAATGTTTTCTTTATAGTGGACCCGCCGTTCTATAACACATGGGATTTTCAATACCAAGTAGACTGGACTTTGAGAGACTCTTTAGAAACTTTAGACATTATACATAACCATCCATGCTTTTACTTTACATCCGATAAAAGTGGTTTGGAAACCGTTATGAGATGGTTAGAGGACATACATGACTATGAGTTTATATATGACAAGATAGAATATGAGAGAGGTCCTATAAACCGGAGAAAGTGTCACAATAAAGAAATTTTATTAGTAAGTAAATGTGGTTTGAAATCGGATTGTTAGTTTTAGGTTTTTTCCATTGTGTCATTTATTTATTTGACGTGGCAGAAAAGTACAGAGAATATGAAGATGAACCAATGCCTGCAAATGTTCAGCATATGTACTCGTAAGAGATATTTTTATCTAATATTAAATGGACGCACAGAACTTAGCGAATGCACAGCAACCTGGACAACCAAACCCAGAGAATATTCCAAATGAAGTTAGAATACAAACTGCAATGGCAAACTATGGTCAAGTGCCAACAGATGTACAAATGCAAACTGCCATGTCAAATGACGCTGCGTTAGGTTTGCCACCATGGTATGCAAATATGAAATGGAAAGAGTTTTATACAAACCCTGAAGTGGGATATAAACAACTTTATGCAGATGACGCGAACACAGAAGTTGACCCAGAATATGTTTTCTACCAGAGGAGAAACAGAATGTATGAGCTCCAGTTAAAGAATGCTATGGAACTCAACAGGAAACGTAAGAGACTAGGCGGACATTAGATTTTTACACGTAGTAAATGGGTTTCTTCAGTAAGATAGGAAACTTCTTCAGAAGAGTTGGAAGAGGTATATGGAATGGCGTCAAAACCGTAGAAAGAGGAGTATGGAACGGTGTCAAAAATATTGGTAAAAGAGTAGGTCAGTTCGTTGGTATTATACCTAAAGACCCTGAACCAGAAGAGCAAGCTCCTGTTATACAACAGCCTGAACCTGCACCACAGTCTAGTTGGCAACCAAATCCAACACCTCAACCGTATTAAAAAATTATATTTTTACCGTTCGATAGTAGTTGTATATGAAACTAAGTTCTAAGTAAAACGCATGGTATAATGGAATTATTCTTTTTCTTCCATCTGTAGTAAACCATACTTGAAAGTCTGAAATACTTCCACTTGGTGGTTCGTATAACTTTGTAGGTTTTTCGTAAAAGTTATTTGCCAAGCATAAGAAAGAGTTTTGGGCGCCAGAAAATGAAGCATGAACAATAATAGCATCTGGGTCGAAAATATTTTCATATGTTCCATTAGGGTTTTCGACTTCATAATAGTCCGGGTGTACTGGATATGCTGCAGGCTGATTTAACATCCTCATAAATCTATACCATGCCAAGTTGTTATATTTTGTAGAAATATAAACGTTTTCTCCAAGGTCTTCTATTTTATTGATTTTAACAGTTGCATTTTTCCTGTCATAAATAATATCGAGATGGTATTCTCCTTCGTCAATGTTATACTGGTTTGCATATTCAATATAGATGTCGTTTATTTTTTCTTGAAAAGCTTGAAGAGTTGTTTCTAAGTTTATAAGCAAACTAACTTGTAAAAGTTTTCCCTGTTCAAATTTCTCATACATACGTTTTTCTTTGTTATAGTATCGAACTTCAAAACCGACCGTAAATGGGAAACCATGTATGGCTTCTGAAATGAACTTCATTCTACGAAAGCCAATAGCTTTTGTGACGGATGGGTCTCTTAACCATCTTAATGGGTAGTCAAAACGATAGCCTTCATGCTTTACGGTATCTGTCTCAAACTTTTGACCGACATTAGTAAAAAGTTCATCTAATGGTTTAGTTGTAGCAACTCTAGAATTTTCTTTTTCTATTGGAAGCATATTTTATCTATAATAAAAATGTCAAATGAAACAGCGTCTATGAGAACAAAACGCCAACTCATTATGCAAGCTCAAATAAGCACACATACAAACTTTTCAATACCTATTCTTAAGAATATGCTGTAGTCATTTGAAAGGGGTGACTTAAAACTTGACATTTAAAGCCCATATGCATCAGATGGAGTATTCTCGTTTCAAGACAAGTCAGAGACATACTGTGGTCTGTATAAATACAACAAAAGGAACTTATAAACGAGAAACCTAGTAAATGATACTCTTTTGAAGCGAGATAGTTGACCAAAGCAAAGCTGACAAAGAAATGTTAGACGACTGCGGAATAGCAAAGAAGAAAAGAGCTAACAATGCTTGATGCAACATAAAGAACTACTCATCAGAACTAGCAGACAAAACATATGTTTGACAATAAAATTGTCCATAGTGAAGTGTAACAAGAGCTGAAGACAATATTCTATAGAAAGAGCTCATATAGTCATATATTAAAACTCAATATAACCAAAGTCCTTAAGAACACATTAGAAGCAAAAGCAGATAAGCACTCATACACATTTAGCTATGATATTCTGAACATTAAACTTACACTAAACCTTAGAACAGGAAAGTAGCGTTGGAACATGTACTACATTTATTATCTGTAAAACAGTAGACAGACTGAAACTATGAGCCTTGCGAAAAGAAAAGCCGATAAAACATATGTCCAATGATGACATATACAAAGTGATGATAGAACAAGAAAATATATTGAAACTATTGTTGTGCTTTTCTGTCAATGAAGAAAATAAATATTATGATGGTTGGTACAGGTCCTTAAAAATAGGTAACAATTGCGGCATAAACTCATTACCTGCATAAATACATGAAATGTCATGAAGTATAAAAAAGAAAATGAGTGCTACACAAGTTGTAAGTCATTAGACAAAGACATGCTACATCATAAACTTTACTAGTGTGCGAACGACGACAAAAGAAATAGTTTAGAAGTTTATGAAATCGGGTGCGACTATGATACACTTGCCTGCACCCACTCCAGCAACACATTATTTATGACTATAGGGAAAGTGGACGACAGGAACACCTATACATGCTAACGAAAACTAAACCCTAACATGTAATATTTACGATTATCTTAAAATAAGATATAATGAATAGAAAAAACGGGAAAGTAAACTTATTATACAGATGACAGAACTAAAGTATTATAGGTCACAGTGCATGTTTACCTACCGTGAAAACATAAGGATTATATTCATGTTTAAAAAATATTCTGACACACAAAAACAAGATAGAAACCGGTGAATAATGTTTGCAGCAATATATCACTTAAAGTTCAAAAGAGACATACTATGTAATATCTCACTAATGGTTTGATTTAATTGAACCCAGTAAGGAAATTCTATTTATCCAATTCATGAGACAAGAGGTCCCAATAATGATTGGTTGTTGGTGCTTAAGGAACGAAAGTTAGGTCGTATCAGGTTTTGTATTTGGCAACACTCTTCATGAAGTAGAAGACAAGTGGGAAGTTAAAACGAATTTTCAGGTGAAAATTACCTGCAACATCCAGCTACATTAGATTTAAAAGTAAATTGTCCAAGTCAGATTGCGCATAAGCATAGAGCATATTGGGAGTTGGTTCCAGAGATGACAAAAGAGGTAATGAGGATATGATGTTAAAGTACGGACGTAAGTTTGCTATAAATTGTGTACTCGAGATTGACACCTTCAGCGGAGAATGGAAACACTACACATGTCGTTTCAGGATCATACACAAACAACGGGACAAATAAAGAATACACTGCACAAGTTTACATGACAGAGTTCTAACGCATTGTGTATATGCGAATGCTTAGTGTTCATTGTTCATACTTCCTTTAGCATGCCATGCGTCAGAAGTTGTCTTATTCATTTTTAAGGTCAACTGTCTTGTAGAAAGTATATTCCAGCCTTGAACTTTGACAAGTTCCTTGAAACGAGGTCTGACATATCAGGGCTAGTTTTATCTTCTGGCTGGCAATCTGTAACATTTGCCATGTTTGCCGGGTAAAATTGATAACATTCATCTATGTAGTACTTTCTTCTTATTTTTAGGAAACCGAATGTGAGTACCTGTCGTCCATTGGCATATCAATATTTTCATAATGGCGGGTT